CCCCCCCCCCCCCAATTAACGGGTCGTTAACCGTAATTAACGGCGGAGCATCCCGCAATTAACGCCCGTCGCCATCGGCCGGTGGCCTTAACGCCGGTATCGCCGCTGGGGGCGGGGCGTCTTCATCTTCATCTTCATCTTCATCTTCATCTTCATCTCCATCTTCATCTTCATCATCGTCATCGTTATCATCTTCACCTTCATCATCGTTATCTTCATTATTGTCGTCTTCATCTCCATCTTCATCTTCATCATCGTCATCGTCATCTTCATCATCGTCATCATCTTCACCTTCATCATCGTCATCTTCGTTATTGTCGTCTTCATCTTCATCTTTGTCATCTTCGTCATTGCCATCATCTTCACCAGCACCATCTTCATTATCCTCATCACCATCATCATCTTCATCATCGTTGTCTTCACCTTCATCATCCCCACTATTGTCATCAGCATCAGCATCTTCACCTTCATCATCGTCATCTTCATCATCATTGTCATCGTCATCATCTTCATCACCGTCACCTTCATCGCCATCATTTTCATTGTCACCTTCATCATCGTCGCCTTCATCTTCGTCGTCGTCGTCGTCTTCACCTTCATCATCATCACCATCTTCATCACCATTGTCGTCATCTTCATCAGCATCATCTTCATCACCGTCATCATCTTCACCTTCATCATCGTCATCTTCGTTATCATCGTCGTCGTCACCATCTCCATCATCTTCATCATCAGCATCACCAAACGCCCCCAACCTCCTGGCAGAGCCTTCGGCCTCGGCCTTCCTCTTCCTCTTCGTCATCGCTTCCATCATCTTCATCCTCATCATCGTCTTCATCTTCGTCATCTTCATCTTCACCATCATCGTCGTCATCATCATCGCTGTCAGCGTCATCCACTGCCCCCAACCTCCCGGCAGAGCCTTCAGCCTCGGCCCTCCTCTTCCTCTTCGTCATCATCATCTTCATTATCTTCATCATCTTCATCATCATCTTCATCATCATCTTCATCATCATCAGCAGCAGCATCATCCAATGCCCCCAACCTCCTAGCAAAGCCTTCAGCCTCAGCCTTCCTCTTTCTCTTCCTCTTCCTCTTCCTCTTCCTTTTCTTCTTTGTCATCATCATCTTCATCATCTTCATCTTCATTTCATTATCATCTTCATCACCATCATCAGCAGCGTCATCCATTGCCTCCAACCTCCTGGCAGAGCCTTCAGCCTCAGCCTTCCTCCTCCTCCT